TACTCCTTCCTCCCTCCTCCCCTCCTCTCCCCTCCTCTCCCCTCCTCTCCTCTCCCCTCCTCTCCTCTCCTCTCCTCTCCCCTCCTCTCCTCTCGTATCTTCTCCTCTTCATGCCCTTCCATGGCTGCTTGTCGATTTGCGCTAAGCGGAAAACTGTCTTTTTTTCTTTTCTTTCTTTCTTTGACTGTAAAATATATCGGTTAAACATTTAGAAACATAACCGTCGGGAGTCCGATATTCGGAGTCGGCGGCCAGTGGAAACGGTTCAGGTTGGCCTCCGAGGCTCCGGGCTCGGGCCCGGCGCTGCGGCACCGGCAGCGATCGTCGGGTCCGCCTCATGAGAGGCTTCAAGTAGGCCCGGTCGCATTCAAGTAGTGATTTCCGAAGGTCAGAGTCGGACAGTACCACTACCGGTGGTAGATTTGTCACAGAGTTTGCACCAGCCCCGGCGTATCTTATAACCATCACCCCTTTTTCTTCTTTTTCAAGTACCGGTCCTCGCTGGGCCTGCAGAGGACCCACCCTATCTACTGGAACAAATTTGGGCACCGTATGCCGTGGCGCAACCTGCTCCCCACCCCCTCACAGAGCAATGCCCGAAATACTTCTTAGGAAGATGATGCAGAACAAAGATGGGTGAAAGAGGAGGGGGAGCGCGCCCGCCGCCACTTGAAGGCAGATGCAGGCTGAGAAGAAGGGCATGATCGGAAGGAAGCTGAGGGGAGTAGAGCTCTCCATAGGAAGCAGCTAGTTTGAGCCAAAAGGAGGAGTCACAGTGGAGCAGTTCGAGGGGAAGCGCGCAAGGGCGAGTGGAGGAAAATAGATGGGGTTCAGTAGCCCTGCGCATTGCGCGGACAGATGTACACTTAGACAGGGCAAATAAGTGCTGTGCAATATTTGTGTGATGTGTCACAATAGCATCGCAAGGTTGTACAGAAATGCGAAGCGATCAGAGCGAGTTAGGATCTGAAATAGTCAAGCGAAATAGGAAGCACTTCTCGATGACATACAATCAAACAATGCTGGCAATTTCATGCAGATTGAAAGGTCAGTAGGCATTCAGAGCTGCAAGGAAAGAATCATCTGCATCGTGTTTTCTGTGCATGCGATGCCGAGGGAGATCAGCATTGGAGTTGATGACAGGCATTTGCAAGATGTTCTCCGATATTGTCAAGCTCCAGAAATTGTACTTGAGCATGCTCAGCTGCCCCGATGCAAACGGCGACTGGACGGGAAGCTTCGACGTTGATGTAAGATTAAGATCAAGATGTATAGATGCTTACAATTGTTGCAGTACAACCTCGACGACGAGAAGCTTGATTCTAATCAGCTCAACTACATCGACCCATCTATGGGCAACTACGACAACCACTGGTCCACCACCTTTACTGTCGACACTTGCTCTGGATAAACTGGGCTGGTCAAATTGAAAGCCTGTCGGTAAACGTGAGATTGCTTTCCTTGGACAATGAAGGCAATATATTTTTAAATTACTCGCGTCTCAATACATCTTACCGTCCATACCATCCCCTCTTGTCTTCTTCACGACCAACCAAAGCTTTGCATCTGATTACGAGGGTTGAAGATGCAGTGAAGTATCAGATCCTTGGAATACGTCACAAACGGCTGAAAGCTTGCAATGAAACAGTTGCATCAATACCGATGCATATCGAACTTGATTATGCATACCGTTGGTTGCATGCAAATCAGGTTGCAAACTGAAAATCATGCTCGTAATGTTGGATTTGAGTTTGTGAGATTTCATTGTTCTTTCAGGATCACAAATTATGATCAAACACGGAGAATGCAGATCGAATTAAAATTGCGATGATCTAGCTGATCTGAACAGTTTTCTTCTGAAGTTTTAACCCCCAGAAAGCACACCACGAACGACAAACGTGCTGCTTCGTGAAAATACAACCAGTCATACCTTTATCATGGAACTAAAATGCAACATCCAATTTAAAAATGCATTAGGCCAAGAATCATACAATCGTATTTGCCATACTAGTCTAGAATCAATCCTTGCATACCACAAACACCAAAGACTCGTATAATCATGATTGTCAGTCGTAGGTGGAAGTTTCTCCCTCCAATCTGTTCTATTTGCTCGGAGTCTAAAACATCAACTCATCGTGTGGGGTATGTTCAAACTGATGTGTTCAGCTCGGCCCGGCGCCTTCAATACATGCCTGTGATGGATAGTCATATAACCTTTCATCGACAACGATGAGTATTCTGAAATATAATATTTCAGAATCCTCCTCATCCAATGCTCGTACAAATGTATCGGAAGTTCAGTGACTATGCTCACACATAAAAGTCTCTTTCTCTGTCCCTTGCTATCGAGAAAGAAGTGCAGCATTGATGTCACGAGACACAAAGCGAGTTTTGAAACATTTGGTAGACCCACAACATTTCAACCCTCGCACCGTCCATCGCTTGCGATGGAATACAGCACCCCTGAGGATCCGCACGCGTCTGAAATCTTGCAGTATTTTGTGCCATTTCGATGACAATTGGCAGTCGTATGTTTCTCATCAACATCAACCACGTGATTGAAGCTTTACGGCAATGTTGTTAGTTCCACTTGACGGGGACTGCCTTCTCCTTCTTCCCACTTGCACTGAAAGAGGCACCTCCATAGGCAATAATTGGCTCAGATAGACCTTTGTTTCTTCCCTTCATGGTTTCAAAGAAACGATCGACAGCCTTCCGTTTGTGAATCTAGTTATCCATTCTTATCTGCCCCATTTCTTCTTGCTGTAATGGATGTACAAGCCATCAAATATACCCAACACCACGGTAAGTGACTCTTCAAAAGAATCGATGAGACATGTCTTGAAAGAAAAGTGCGCCCTTATTTCTTCGATATCTGTGACGGATTTCTGCCATTGTTTATAATTTCTTCTGGTTCAATGAAATATGCGACTCATGGTAGAATTGTTTCCGAGTGAATCGATATCTCTTAATCTGACTCGTTTCTTGTGAATCAACAACCTCAACCCCGCATATCAAAACGGTCTCATGTTGTTCGAGATCGTCATATAATAAATAATAGGAACTCCATAAAAGTGTTTAATGTACCCTACCCCCTGTAATAAAGGGTGAAAATGCGTTCATTTGTTCAGCCTGGATAAATCTGATCAAAAGACGCAACGTTTATAATGAAACAAATCGAAAATAATTGTTTTCCACAAGAAATAGTCTAAAGATAGTGTGAGATCTCCATTCTGTTACATCCGACTGTCAAAAACGTTTTAATCGTCATGAAGAGTCGCAAGCTCAAGGTATCTCCAGCCCAACCCTACCGGAAGGAGTAGCAAAGGGTATCCACATGAACAGTCCCCCTACCCACAGTCCTACTCATTAGGGTACCTTGTATGTCTCCAAATCAATTCTCAATGAGACATGCCAACAACCTCATCTTTTTATAAACATTCATCTATTGAAAAGAGCCTACCCATGGCTCTATTCCTTCAATGATATACCACCCCCTATGGTGTGGTTGGGATACCTACCCGAGTGAGATACCCAGGTCATAAAGAACACCTGCATGCGGTGTACCCACCCCCACGTGGTTGTCGTGATCCGCCGGGTCCCATGGGGAGATGGAGATCGAACCCCTGTTGCAGCCACTGCTTTAAAAGGTTTTTGCTGTCAAAGGTTGTGAAATTGCGACGTGTCATTGATACAAATTGGGATTTACAGCGAAAAGTTCAATTGGTGGGTTCATTATTTGAAATTCACAAGGCAATGTTCAAATAGGAAATTGTACATGTTTGATGCGCCCCATCAAGGGGGGCGTAGACATGGGGGTGGTTGAGGGGCAGTGCACACAGGCAGGGAGGGGTTAGGAGAGGGTTTCCCCTACTATATGGGGGTTTAAGACAGGTGGGGTCATGAGACGAATGGGATACTCTCCATCTTTATGGGAAATACAGGGGTAGGGTAAATATGGATAGGGGTGGGGTCATCAGTAGTAAATCCAGTCGTGGCAGCCAATATAGTCAAATTCTAGTTTGGGTTGGGGACCATGCAAGGTGGGTAGTTGAGGGCCACATGTTATCTTGGGGGTAGGGTTATACCATGAGAGGGGTAGAGTGGAATTTCTTTCCTTGAATAGGAAGGTCAGAAGCACCGGTACAAAGAAGGTAACTTCTCTGGAAATAGTACGGTGATGGGGTGGGTAGGTCAAAATGGTAGATAGTACCATTTCTTGTAGGGTGTATTCCACTCGATGTGCATTTTCATGTAGGGTAGGGTGGGCGTGGACAGGGTGGGGTCGTATGTCGGGGGTTAAATCCGGAGAAGGGGTGGTAGAAAGATGCAGATGAACAGACGGGTGGGGGTAGTCTCTCCAATGATGTGGGCGGGAGAAATGAGACCGGTTGTAGAGGAGAGCAGGAAATGAGATCATGAAGCCTAAGATTTGCAGGAGCAGGAGAAGGGACACAATCAGCAACAGCAGGATATGCAGAGATATCAGCAGGGATTGATGCAGTAGTGGAAGGGGCAGGCGAAGGGGCAGCAGAACTGGCAATGGTCCACAGTACGTCCGAAAGAGAACGGATAGAGAAGCAGGAGCAGGAGCAGGAGCAGGAGCAGGAGCAGGAGCAGGAGCAGGATTATAATGATAACGAGATTCGAGAGCAAGTATAGATAACGAGATTCGAGTAATGATAACGAGATTCGAGTAATGATAACGAGATTCGAGAGCAAGTATAGCGAGAGTGGAAGAAGTTGAACAAGGACCTTGAGGAAAACAATGCTGAAACAGGGGATCATCGGGTCCAAGCAATGAGACATCCTGTCAGAGTAAAACTAGAGGTCCTTTTCAGGAGTGACCTGTGGAATCAGATCCTATGCACATGCAGAAACTAAGACAATAAATTAGACTGGAAGAGTCTTGATATGGATCTGAATTGTGGTAGGATGGGAGGTTGCTGGAGAGATGTGAAATAGTTCACTGGAATGAGATTTCGATGATCATGGACAGGAAACAGAGGGGCCGATGTTGTTATTGAATATATGTAGAGAGAATTTAGGCATAGATCATGTTTGGGAAATTCTGCCAAGTGTGAATCGAAGTAGAGAGGTTCAAGAAAAAGTCTCTTGTCGCTTTGACATTGACTCATATATGCTAATGCGAGGGAAACGATCGATGGATCCAAACGAACACCTGACTTGATTCTGTCATTTTCTTCTGTTCTCCACAACCATGTTTGTACTACTTGTGAATGACATTCGTTTGAAGCAGTTTACTCTCAAATTTCACGAGCAAGGAGAGATCTGTCAACAAATTCCACTTTAGCAAATCTGGTGTTCCAACAACTTAGTTCAGCACGTTCTTGATGCTCTCAGCTCAGAAACCTCTCTCTGCCCTCTTGGCACAGGAGTACAAGCCCTCTCTTGTATCGCTGGAGGAGGAGGGGGTTTACGGCATAGCAAGAGTTTTCTTTCATGCTACAACCAAGCTTTCGGATGACACAGAAGACATTTTACCTCAAGAAGACGGAGAGAACATGAAGCTATCAGTCTTTGGTGTGTTTGCAGAGCTGTTCCCAGAAGCCGTTGGTGAACACGGCGCTAGCGGTAATCTTTGATTATCCTGCTATCTCTCTTATGCCTTGACTCCTTCAGCCAAAACAAAGATTGAGGTTGCATTTCAACAAAGTAGGGTATTCTATATATGGCAAGGAGCAAAGCAGAAGGGTCCCGTCACTGAGGGCCAAGCCTGGCAATCCTGGGTACGGTTTCCGACGAGCAAGATGGAGGGATACTGTCGATGATGCAACCGATGGGAAGCATTGCTCCAAGGTAGCACTGTGAGGGACATACCGATGAATAACGTGGTGGGCAGATTCTCAGCGATGCAGGTTTCGACCTTGAAAAAGTCAACAAGGTGAAGGAGAGGATCCAAGAGGTCAGACATCTGTGGGATGCAATCAGACGACCGTCTCGTCCGGCCGGCCCCGGCCGACCAAGGCGTATGGAACCCATGAGAATGCTAGGCAGCTCCGTTCCTCATGACGACCTTGCTGTGGCGGACCCTGCGGAGCCCAGACAGACGAGTCCGACGTTACAGGAGATTTCAAGCCAAACTAAAGTGAGCATGAGCGATGAAATGTTTGATCCTCTGACATTGGCCATTGAAGTCTCCACAGGGCGTGACTGCTTGCGGTGCGCCGGGGCACACTGCGTCGGGTATTGAGACGCATCCTGCCATGCGGTCCCCGTGTGTTCAAGCTTCTCCTTCGCTGAAGAGGTATGCCGTCTGCGAGTGAGCTTAGAGCTGATCCCCAGCGCCCAGATGCAGGGAGGATGATCTGACTCCAAGCTTATATCCTCGCCTCACCTCCCTCAAGGTACGATTGCGTGAGGATTTTTCAAGGTGTTGACAAGTTACAAGCTTCTGTCTCCTGCCAAGAGCCCTTTCGGGACCATCTGCGATTCGTTCAAGCACTCGCCTCTCGGAAGAGACACGCCCACCTGTCTGCGACCCTCACCCAACGGCGAGACGGACAACATTGAGAAGGAGAGTCTCAAGTTGCCTCCTTTGGCTTTGCCTCCAATGGCGAAAGCCTGTTCACAGGTTTGTTTGCTGCCCGCATCTGCCTCTCCACTAAATGTCTGAGCAGCCGCGAGGGCTGCTAGAGTTGGAGCGATCGCTGGACAACGAAAACCACAGATGCAGGTACCCATCGCCTGCCTCCTTCCTCGTGTCTGATCGATGACTCAGGCTGATCATCCACGACAAAAGCGACGCTGCAGAGCTGAAGAAGGAGTTTCAGGTGCGTTGTGAACGAGTGGAGAAGGTTCGTTGAGATATCCGACAGGTTCTGACTGCACTCGAGTTCCTCGCATCGACTGCACTCGAATGCAGCACAAAGGAAATTTCTCGTTAGCCTTGTGGCAAGGGACGAAATCTCCCGCACAAGCCTAATTTAATACATTCGATAGAAACCTAGAGGTCGACGTCACCGCCGCCTGACCTTTACAGCTCCTGGCGCTTCGCCTTCGCTGCCTGTTTCGAGTGGATGGATCAGCTCGTGTGGACTGACTGCAGGATCTACCTCCACCATCTTCTCGATGTGCTCTGCTGCTCTGTTCAGCTGGACTGCTGCTGGCTGTTCCGTCCTCAGGAAGGAGCAGAGAACTTGTCAATCCGTACCTCAAGGGAGCCCTGAAGCTTCTTCACCTAGTGAGGAAAGTCAGCGAGGAGTAGGAGAAGGAGGATGAGGAGGGGTGATAGCTCGAGCTCTTACCGCTGCCTTGAAGCGCAGAGCCGCTGCTTCGTACGCGTCCTCGCCCTGTAGGAGCCGTCAGGGGAGCGCGAGAATGACACCTACTTGAGACTTCGCGTTTGACGGCCGGCAAGTTGAAAGTTTCCTTCACCTGCTCTTCATGCTCAGAGGAGGGTGTGAGGGAGGAAGGCCATGATAGATGTTGGGGAGGAAGGTGAAGGGAAGGGAGGCTGAGAGCGAAGCCAAGGAGGCGAAGGTCGAGGAGGAGGGAAGGGGGAGAAAGGGAGCGGAGGGAAGTGACGAGGAGGGCAAAGGGGGAGCGCACAGTGCGAACGATGTCCTTGAGTCCCCGCATCTTCTCCGAGAGGTCTATCGGCTGCTGCTGTTTCAATCCCTTGGGAAATGCGAGGACAGTCGGGAAGCCTCCAACCTGTGAAATGTCAGTCACATCCATCCTCCCCGCTCTCCTTCTGTCCGTTCCGCCCCTCCCCCCCCCCCCCTTCCCTCCCTCCTTCCCTCCCTCCCTCCCTCCCAACGACGACGGCCTCACTTCCTCCTTCAACCCACATTGATGTCCTCAGCTTCGTTGCTGGTCCCATCCATCTTGGCAAAGATCACGTCCCCAGGGTACTTGTCGTCAAAATACTCAGCCGCCTGCACTCACGTCAGTCCCATCTCCCTCCCTCCCTGCCTGCCTCCCTGCCTGCCTCCCTTCCCCTTATCCTCTCCCTCCCTCCCTCCCGGAGTCCCTCCCTCCCTTCCCTCCTGTTCCCCCCCCCCCCCCCACGGCCTCCCTCCTTGCCTCCTTCCCCCCCTCTTCTCTCCCTCCCACCCTCCCTCCTACTGTCACGTACTCGAGAAGTGGCCCGCACCCTAGTAG